AGCAAGGACAAGGGTCACCCTGTGCCAGTGGCTGCTGTTGGTGCTGTGCCTCAGACACCAGGCAAGGTGGGGAAAGAGCATTTAAGAGGGAAGCCAAGCAGTAAACAGCTGATTTTATCTGCATTTCTGCTCCTCAGCTTCAGGCAGGCGTGAGTTCTGGACCTATCTGCTCCATTCTGATGAGGAAATTCTAGAGGTGGGTTTGTTGATTCTGTTGTTGCTTGTTTTTAAATCCAGTCCCATTCCCTCCCCCTCCTATTTCCAAACTTTGAAGAGCTTTTCCTGGCTGAGCCGTACTTGAAGTGACTGAACTTGGCAGGAGCCGAGGCTTAAAGCAGCACCAGAGCTGGGCTGGTTTCTTCCCAACTTGTCTGAGCAAGAGCAGGTAAAGAGTGGGGTGGGGGATCACCTCGAGCAAATTCTGTTCAGTTCTTAAGGCTGCTGTGAAAAGGCAAAACAAGCTGGGGAGGCTGCCTTTATCTCAGTAGGGACAGCAGCTGCAAAAATGTAAATATGGAAAGCTTGCTCACTGAGATTACGCTGCTGGACATCAGTGATGCAACCGGACAAACTTACTCAGGCTGCACTGTCTTTGTGTGAAGCCACATGGAAAATGTGGAGCTGGAAAACGATGCTGAGAACTCAGACCTTCTCACTCACGTGTCCTGTTTCTGATGTTGCAGTCATTTGTGGTCTCAGTGGTGTTGCAGGGCAGCTGCCAGCCTGCTTGCAGGATGCTGCTCCTTGCAGCTTGGGCACACAGATGCTGCAGGCAACCAGCAAGGGAAAGTTGAGGCTGTTGCTGGAGGGGGAAGTTGTTAGAAACTAAACTACAGGAAGGGAGTGAGCTGAACTTCACTAGGAGCCGTTGTGCCTTGGAGAGTTAATTACAGTGTTACAGAGCACTGGTATGGGGTTAATTACCTCTCTGCTCTTCCAGATGGTGTCACCTGTATGGAATGGGGCACAGCAGTGGCACTGCTGAAGCATCCCTTCCCATTCCTTCATATTGCTGTTTTTAGTGAATCTGTTATGTCAGCTGTAACGAGGCCACTCTTTAGTCATGAAGGATCTTACATATGAGAGGGGAAAAAAAGGCATTCAGGCAGCCTCTTTGGTAAAGTTATTACTAAACCCCACAGCAGAACTGTCTTTTTGTCCCAAGGTGCTTTCGAGCAACGAGAGCTGCAGTGTGGCTGCACCATGGCAGCGGTGGTGGCAGAGAAGCTCAGCCGCCTCTTCATCAACGTGCGCCAGGTCCCCCAGCTGCTGGCTCCCCCACTGCCCACCACTGTCAGCAGCTCTGAGGTGCCGAGGGTTTTCTGGAAGCCTTACATCCACACTGGCTATCGCCCAGTGCACCAAACCTGGAGCTATTACTTCTCCACGCTCTTCCAGCAACACAACGAAGCCATCAACGTGTGGACTCACCTGGTGGCCACGCTGATCCTGCTGCTGCGCTTCCAGCAGCTCTCCCAGAGGGTGGATTTTGGGCAGGACCCGCACGCCCAGCCGCTCCTCATCATCATCACGGCATCCATCACCTACCTGACGTTCAGCACGCTCGCTCACCTCCTGCAGGCCAAGTCTGAGTTCTGGCACTACAGCTTCTTCTTCATGGACTATGTAGGGGTGGCCATCTACCAGTATGGCAGTGCGTTGGTGCATTACTACTATGCCATCGAACCCAGCTGGCACGAGAGGATCCAGGGCTTTTTCATGCCCACGGCTGCACTGCTGGCCTGGCTGTCATGTGCAGGTTCGTGCTACGCCAAGTTCCACTTCCATCAGTCAGCATGGCTGCTGAGCCGGCTGTGCCAGGAGGTGCCCTCGGGCCTGGCCTACCTGCTGGACATCAGCCCTGTTGTGCACCGGATCTGCACCGCATCACCTGCGGAGCACACGGACCCGGCCCTGCTGTACCACAAGTGCCAGGTGCTGTTCTTCCTCATCGGTGCCTTTTTTTTCTCCCATCCTTACCCAGAGAAGTTGCTCCCTGGGAAATGCTATTTTTTTGGGCAGAGCCATCAGATTTTTCACGTCTTCCTGGTGCTTTGCACGCTGGCACAGATCGAGGCCGTGGTGCTGGACTATGAGTCCAGGCGGCACATCTACTCCTCGCTGCAGGGTGACCTGGCACACCACTTCTCTGCCCTGTGTGTCTTCACTGTGACGTGCTCTGTGCTCACAGCTGCATACATGGCACGGAAAGTGAAGGACAAGCTGAGCTTCAAAGAAGACTGAGATCCAGGGCATAATGGGGGATGCCATGGCCAAAGCTGCATGCTCCGAGAGGAAGGAAGTGCTTTGCAAACTGTCACTTGGCACTGCTCTCCCCAGGGAGGGAGAATAAGAGCTGCTCTTCGTGCTTTTTAATTCAGAATTAATCCCATCTTATTCGTGAAATAGTGCACTGATTTAATTCCTATATCTGAATAAACAGATAGAACCACGTGGCAGTGTGGTGCAGCCTGGTCACTGCTGAGCCCTGTGTGCTTTGTCCCGGGGGTCCCCACAGCTGTCCCCTCCACTCCATCTCAGCAGCAGTGGGGCTGCATACCTCTCACAAGGGGCAGCTGCAGATGGGACGTCTGCATGGCCTCTCCCAGCCCTGCTCTGCTTGCATCTCTGTGTGTCTCCAGGAAGGCTGTGGGGAGCAGTGTGTTGCAATGCAGGTGAACGATAAGCACTGCTCCCCCACCTTGGCTGAAGATGTTATCTTGCAGGACACTGTCCACTTGCTCAGATATGAGCTGCCTTTGGTAAATCTGTGCTGCTTTTCCCAATCCCTTGCTTTGTTTGTGTGGTAGTAGTTTCCAGACTCACTCTGTTGCTTTCCTGGGGTCTGAAGGGTGATCTGGTGGGGACTGAGACCTGGGGGATCCGGAGGAGCTCTGCACCCCTGCACAGCAGCAGTGCACAGCCTCGATGGGGCAAAGCACAGAACCCCAGAGCAGTGCAGGGCAGCTGCAGAGCCACAACTGCTGCCCTCCGGCTCCAGCACAGCTGCTGCTCTGTGCCAACTGGTGCTGTGCCAACCACTCTTTGTTTGAAGATGCTGAGACATGTCAGGTTGGTATTTCTTGGCTGTAGGAATGACATCTAAATGTTACCACCTTTAATCTACAAAATTCCCAAGCTGGGAAGTCATGAACATTACTGAGCTGTCTCTCAGCTTAGTGTGGAACATTGGGTGCCCTGCTGCCTTGCAAGGAGCTTTTTGCAAGGGAGTGAGGAACTTGTGCAGGAATAAAGAACATCCCCAGTAGAAATGCTGCACACTGCCTAAGCTTAAAAATAACCAATGACCAAAAACCACCTTAACCCTCAGGTTAAGTAATGCCAGGCCATCCTCAGAAATAGTGCAGAAAAGCATATTTTCTGCATAGCATAGAAAGCAGACCCACCAGCCTGCATCTACTGGTTTGCATGGACATCAATACCAATTGATCCCATACACCAGCACTGAGAATGGTGGAATGCCAGCAGTGTGTCTCTATACGGCACTCTGCAATCTGCTTTCTAACACAGTACTGCTGCATTTTGCAGTCATGGACAATGTGAAATAGTATGATTGTCCGAATTTATTGCTATTGCAGTTCATCCTTTGTGACCCTGACGTAACCATGGAAACAGAAGCATCAGAGTGAGTCTGCGCTATGCTGACAGCCCATGGGACATTGCTGATGTCTGTGCTCTGGTTATCCAGTTGGTCGTTGTGGGTCAGACAAATTGAGTAGGAAATAAAAATCAATTCTGCACATGAAGCGCACATTACTGATGAGTAGGAATGAAAAGGTCTTGGGAGAATGTTTCCCTGATCAAAGGAATTTTAGGGAGTTTGACCCTGAGCTTAGAAAACGCCATTTAGTAGTTAGGTGAAACATAGAGTTATTTTATAGCAAAACCAACTACAGTAAAAGTGAGTGGAACAGGTTGCCCAGGGAGGCTGTGGATGCCCCATCCCTGGAGGCATTCAAGGCCAGGCTGGATGTGGCTCTGGGCAGCCTGGTCTGATGGTTGGCGACCCTGCACACAGCATGGGGTTGGAACTGGATGAGCATTGTGCTCCTTTTGACCTGAAAGAAAGCAGTGCTCTGTCCTGACACTGCTAAATGCTGAGTATTGGTGTGCCAGTCCACGTAAAGAGTTATACCTGCAAAATACCTGCACTAAAGCACAGAGCAGCACATCACTAGCATGAAGTTGTCACTGGATACTTCCAACACTTCCTCTAATACCTGAGGTTATCAAACAGAGCTTCAGCATCTTTGCAAAGCTTGGGAGGCATCTGTAGACCGCCTGGATGGATGGAGATCCCGCTGTAGCAGCAGCAGGATGATGCCTCAGAGCTGCTGCAAGTGCTTACCAGAGAGCACTGGTGGCACAGCCGGAGCAATCGAGTGCTTCCCTCACTGCCACCGAGCTGTGAAATCGGACGTGACCTATTGACTGATCCTCAGACCGAAATTAAAAGGTATCGATGGGCTCTTCGGGGCTGTTGTAGAGGAAGTGCATTCATCCTATGCAGGACACTTGTAGTGGCGATGCACTTGAGCAGGGCACTGATCAGAGAAACCTAAAGGAGTGCCTAGTGCCACGTCTCGGCCTCGTGTTGGGCTGCTATGACCCGGCCATCCCTGCCTTATCTCCGCCTGTGCTGGGAAGCTCCGACTCAGCAGATGTACCTCTTTCCTTTGGAGGATGAAAGGGAACATGGTTGGTAGGAAGCTCAAGCTGTGGATTTTTCATTTCTAGCCTTTCTTTGAATGTGGTTTCCCCCTCCCCATAAATATTAATTTGGTCACCGTTGAATTGTGCTCGGAGCTGTAGCAGACAGACCAACACATTGATTTTCTCCTCCCTCCATCCCCAGCAAATATAAATCCAAGTGTGCAGAGCCTGCATTCCACCAATTGCTCGGGTGGTGACATGAACTGTTCGTAATGTGAAATCCAACGCACACGGATGGAAGATGTCAGGGGTTGTCACTGGATACCATAGAGCTTAATTTTACACATTTGCTGTAAAGAAAGGTACGTTTTATTTCTAATGTGCTGTTTATTTTCACTTGTTTCTCTTTTATGATGTCTGACACCTATTTGTCTGCCAGTTTAAAAGTGTATTTTCATGTTTAATAGCTGTCTTAATGTAACATTTCCTCTGCAGTCAGCAATATTGTAGCCACAAGGATTTAACATCCATTTACTTCCTTAATATTCTTGTTTTACAGTGCCAAGATTAATTACATCGGAACCGAAAGCTTTGTGTTAAATGACCTATGTACTAAAAAATCAGATCATGCTGTTTTTAATGTGACCGAATTCCAAACAAAGTAATGTTATATCTACAAACAGAACTGTTTATGAAACCAGCAGATAATTTTTTGCATAAGTCATTCTTTTTTTCATAGGCTCGTGGGCAAAGGTAGCAGCTCTTGGTGCTTGGACACTGTTGTGTACTTCAAACAGGGGTGTCATCAAGCAGAGGGAATTGGACTGATGATGGGGATTTATTTATTTGCTTAGCACTGTCATCCACAAAGAGAAAGCAGTTATTTGCTCTCAGTTTTATGCTTAAAAATCCTTAAAAATAATCAATCACTGCCTTTTTGTTGTGTTTTAGGATCCTCATGAGATCCTAAGTGTAACCAGATCTCATGGCAAAAAGTTAACAGGACAGAACCATCACTTCAGCTGCAACACATTGCTCACAGCACTGAAAATGAGGGCCAGGAAGTATTTCTCTGTTTGTCTGCAAATCATAAAAACTCATTGCCTTCTCAGGTATCCTACAGATAAACATCCCACTCTCACAGTGGGATCTACTGGATGATGGAGAAGCAGATCCCTGGATGCCCAGTGCTGCTGTGAGGCAGGCACTGTATTTTCCACTGATTCAGATGCACAGGGGATGCTGCATACCTCATAGTTACATCCTTGTCTTGGGTGTCTTTTAATGATAAATTAGAGACAGGTGGATGCACTTCTTTGTCTTTTAGCTGAGAAATAACAATGCCTACACTGCCAACGAGTCATGCTGCAATTGACACCATGTGATGGTGTCATTTTTTTGTAATGAATTTAAGAAGGGCTTCAGCTTTTACAATATCTGATGCTTGCTCTCTCATATGTTCCAGTCTTAAAATGGCACAATAACCATGGGAGACTGGAATTTCCTTGGAGGCATTCTGGAGGAGGTCCACATTCACTCCACTATTATTGGCAAGATTTGGCTAACCATCCTCTTCGTGTTCCGAATGCTTGTCCTTGGAGTGGCCACCGAGGACGTCTGGAATGATGAACAGTCAGAATTTATTTGCAACACTGAGCAACCTGGCTGTAGGAACGTGTGCTATGATGAGGCCTTTCCCATCTCTCTCATAAGATACTGGGTCTTGCAAGTTATCTTTGTGTCTTCTCCTTCTTTGGTGTATATGGGTCACGCCTTATACAGACTAAGAGCCTTAGAGAAAGAGAGACAGAAGAAGAAAGCTCAGGTGAGAGTGGAACTTGAAAGCACTGAACTAGAAATGACAGAATATCGGAAAAGGCTGGAGAGGGAACTCCGGCAGCTGGACCAAAGAAAGCTGAACAAAGCACCCCTGCGAGGTTCGTTGCTCTGCACTTACGTGATACACATTTTCACTAGGTCTGCAGTGGAAGTTGGTTTCATGATTGGGCAATATCTGCTTTACGGGTTTCGCCTGGATCCTCTTTACAAATGTCAAAGAGATCCATGTCCAAACGTAGTCGACTGCTTTGTATCACGGCCAACAGAGAAGACAGTGTTCATCCTATTCATGCAGTCAATAGCGACCGTATCATTGCTTTTAAATGTCTTAGAAATTATCCACCTCGGATTCCGAAAAATTAAAATAGGTCTTTGTGGGCAGGAGGAAAACAAGGATTACCGTGGCAATTTCTACACAAACAAATCCAAGAAATACTCTGTGATACCCCGCTCTTCTCTGGGTATATCTGCAACTCCCCCCAAAACTCTCCCTTCTGTACTTAGCGGTTATGCCTTTTTAATGGAAAAGCAAACCGACACTGCCATCTACCCGGTCCTAAATTCTGCTCCCATGTTCCAGTCTATTCAAAATAACCACACAGAAAATAGAGGCAATTACACCCACCACAATCAGGACAACAAACTGCCGAAGAAAAAGCCAGCTACAGATGTTTTAGCTGGTCAGACTCAGAATGCTAGCACAAACTGCACTGAAGGCTTGCTGGGCAGGCCTGGGACTGAAAGGAGGAATTCCCAGAAAGAAGCTGATCAGAAACACTTCCTTGCTGGTACTCAGAATGCAGATACCGCTTCAAGAAGCTTTGCTGAGATGCTGTCGCAGCCCCCTCTGCAGCCTTTTCCCGTTGCCAGCCTGAGAAGACAGCACGGAATCATCTCCTCTTGGAACTGCTCCGCAGCGGCCGAAAGCGTCGGATCCTCCACCAATTCCCTCACAAAGAGCAGCAGCAGGAGACGGAGCAGCCTCAGCGTGAGCCAAGGCCAACTGCCCCCCAAAGCCGACACCAGGCACCCCAGCCGCCCCGACACCCCCGACTCGGCAGGGGAGGCCAGCACGGGCTCCAAGCAGAGCCAGGGCTGCGGCAGCCCCCAGCCACTGCCCTTATCTGGGCGTCCATCGCTGTCGAGCAGCGCGAGCAGCCGGCGGGCCCCCACCGACCTGCAGATATAGCATGGCTGCCCAAGCACTGTGCTTGGCTAGCTGCCGGGCTTTGTGATAGAAGCAAGAGCAGCCACGAGCAGCTTTCTCGTTCAGCTTTAGCCTTCCGCAGAGGGTAAGGTAGAAGTTGTGCAGCCCTTTTGCTTTTAGCTAAATAACATCTGAACCATCTGCTTGCTTCGCTGGCGATGGAGGGATGGCTTAAACCTCCGTGCCAAGCTTCTGCATTAACCTTCCAGCTGCAAAGGAAAATGTACATCATATAAATCCACATACAAATCCACACATGAAAAGTCAGGATTAAAATTATAGCTGGCGATATGTAAGCCGGCTAAAAGTAGAAGACAAAATTCCAGTCTATAAATGTATTTTATGAAAACTAGTAAATGAAATTAGGTGAAAAAAAAAAGGCACTGGGACACCTGAGAGAAAATAATTAACAATAAATAACATTCTTAGAACCAGGAAACCAGCACAAGAACCAGGAAACCAGCATGGTGCTTTCGCTTGCAGCCATTTGACCGCATCCACATCAAGTGTTGGAGTCATTAAAATCATTCTCTGTAGGTGTTTCTCCAGCAGCTGTTGTTTTTATCTCTGTTCTCATTGTGTGTATTCAGTTACAGCTCTGGGTAACTGTGGGCGCTGTGGGGTTTGACACCACGGACACACACCAGTGCCATTTTGCTCATTCTGACATTTAACCCCTGCACTCCCTGCAGGGTCTGTGAGCCACATTTTGCCATTGGACACCTCAATAGTAAAACACACGTTCATTGCACAGGCTAAAGAGCCGAAAGACGGTGCTGAGGGGCTCGTGTGTGGTACACAGTGCGCTTCTGCCCGCTCGAGGTTAGAAAGGACCCCGAATGGCAGCGAATGGCAGCCGCGGGGCTCTGAGGTGGGCGGTTTTTGATGGCCGCATCAACTACGCTGCCCACGCCGACACTTGAAGGCATTGCGCAGGCGCAGACCTCCAGAGACCGGAAGGCTCCACGAGGCTCGGCCAATCAGCGGCCGAGCCGAGAGCGAGGCAGAGGGCGGGATTTCCGGTTGCGTCGCCATGGCAACGGTAGGAAGCCGGGGCGCCATAAAGGAGGCGGGCGCGGGCGGTGCGGGTGCTGCGGGGTAGATGGCGCACCACAAGGTAGGGGCTGCGGGCCCGCGAGGGGCGGCGGGGCATCCCGGTGCTCTCCTCGGCGCTGGGGAGAGGCCGCTCCGCCCCGCCGAGCCGCCTCCGTAGGCAGGGGTGCGTCGGCGCTCTGACCGTGTGGGCGTCCTCCTTCAGGCCGCGGACTCGAAGCGGGAGCAGTTTCGGCGCTACCTGGAGAAGTCGGGGGTGCTGGATACGCTCACCAAGGGTAAGGCGGCCTGAGGGCCGGGCCGTGGTGCTGCCGGAGTTGGGCGTTGGGACAGAACAACGGGACGGCGCTGCTGGGAGCGGGGCTGCTAACGCTGGGGAGCTCGTGGGTCTTTGTGGAAGCGGCTGTGTTTATCCGGATAGGGAATAAAAGCACGCTGCGAGCTCAGCACGCTTATTTTCTTATGGCTGAGGTCCTTTAAATTATCTGTATGTGTTCTCGAGAGCTTTTCAGCAGGATGTTGGTATTCCTGCTTGAGAAATTATACTGTTGGTGGGGTGTAGCAGCTGTACGGCTCTGTGCTGCGCCTTTCCTGGTGTGTTGGGGCCCTTTGGTTTCCTGTAGGTGTTGCTGTGTAAAGTGTGACAGCGAAATAAATCTTCCAAGCCCTGTGGCAACCGAGTTTTGCTTCTAACTTAAGTGCTTAGCTTAAAACCAGCTTGCCTGTGCAATTCATGTGGCTGAAAGTGGGAGGAAGGCGCTTAAGCTCTCTGCAAGTAGTGCTTGAGCAGCATTTATGAAAGCAAACGTATGGAAGTGCGTGCCTCTGGTGTGTGTGTGTTACATCACTTATTTTGTCATCTGTATTCAAAGCCTGTGGTTGGGTCAAAAAAATCCCTTCTGCTCAACTGTTGAAGTGTGGGGTGCTCTATTTCCTCCTGTACAGCTCTGTCCTTATGAAGGATGTGGGTGAGCAACTTCTTAAACAGGAGAACATGCTGTAAGCATGGCATGGAACTTTTATGCATTCTGACTGTTGCTTTGAACTACTAGAGTTGCATGGATGTCTTGTAATTGAATATTTTATATTTGCAGTGTTAGTAGCCTTATATGAAGAGCCAGAGAAACCAAGTAGTGCACTGGAGTATCCTTTTTTGTCCTCTATCCTATGGATTGTTTCTTGCTGTTATAAGCAGCCTGCTCTGTTTGGTTATTCTTTCACTGTTTGGAACACAAACTGATAAGCTTTAACCAAAAAAGATGTTGGTGTGGCAAAATGTGAGTAGCTGTCTTGTATGTACTGATGTCTTTCTGTAGAATAGAGCAATAAATTTGGGAAGCTTTCTTATTTTTCCAGCTTCTTTCTGTAGGATGAGAAGCATGGCAGTAATTTGAGTGATTTAAATGCTGTGCCAGTCATGTTTATTGCAGGACTAATTTATGATTAAATGTTAAAACCAAGTGTCTTTCTGTCTATCTGAGGAAATACTTAACATGTAAATATCAGCTTTCTGAAGCATCACTTGGGAGCTTCAGCTCCCGAGAGTCCAGAAGTGGAGGCACTTCGCTTGGAAGTAGCAGAGATGAAGGAAAAATATGAAGCTGTGTTGGAAGAAAATAAAAAACTGAAAACCAAAGTAAAAGTCTATTTAATATTCCTAAGTACTTCCGTGTGTGACAAGAAGAGAACTTTGACACTTAGAATACAGCTAACTTTCACTGGAATAAATGATGATGATGTTAAATTGTTCAGCCTTGTGGCTGAGGAATGCATTTCATTCCTTGCCTACCTGCATGTAGCTTCTGGTGAGGGACTCGTATTCTGGAATGCAGTTCTTGCTAACTACAGACTTTTCTTTTTACAAAATAAGTAAAATAAGGCATCTTGGGAAACTGAATGATGAGATGAAGTTTCCCATTTGTTTTGATCTGATACTGTATAGCTTGTGGATTCCATAAGAGCTTTGAGAAGAAGGGCTGGGGGAAAGCTAATGCATTACTATGCAGGCTTTCCAAAGGCTGAATGCAGGAGGGGAACTTGGGTACAGGTCTGTAGCAGGGTTTTACCAGGGGAGGTCACTCTTACCCCTATGGGACATTAACTTGTGCTGCAGCCAATACAACTCTGGAGCTCCTGTGTCTCTTAAGATGTGACATCTAACTGAATTCCTCTCTTTAAATCCACAGCTGGCTCAATATGAACCACCTCAAGAAGAGAAGCGTGATGAATAACAGTAGTTTCTCCTTTCATACCTTGACTTAATAAAGGGCTTCCTGAGAACTGCAGTCCTGTCTCTTCTGTGTGAGCACTGCGTTGTCTTTGTGGTGCTTCATCTTAAAGGGAAACTAGTGAGTGTGCAGCTGCTTTTGTGGTTGTTTGTTTTACTTCTGTGTCTGTGGTTGAGCCAAAGAGAACTAAAGGGACCTGAAAGAGGAAATAACACTGTAAGAGTTTCAAAAGCAAAACAACCCCCACTGGACTTTCATTTCTATTAAAGGAGGTAAATGAGAATGTATAGCATTAACTGTAGGTGTGTGTAGGCAGGGAAGGGGCTGCTGTGCAGAATGCTTGAGGCAGATGAATCAGTGCTGTAAGAGAGGGGGGAGCAGTGCAGTTTGGAGCCCCTGTTGATAGGGAAGCAGCAGGGGGTGGTGTTGGGCCAAGGGAAGCATGGGGCTGCAGGCAGGCCTTGGGTCTGCTGAGCCTTAAGTCTTGTGTGGGATGGATTAACCACAGAAGGGCCAGGGTTGGAAGGGATCTCAAGGATGATGAAGCTCCAACCCCCTGCCACGCACAGAGCCACCAACCTCCACACTCAATACCTGCCCAGGGCCCCATCCAACCCGGCCTTGAACACCTCCAGGGATGGACGGGGCATCACAGCCTCTCTGGGCAGCTGTTCCAGCACCTCACCGCTCTCATAGCAGAGAACTTCCCCCTGACATCCAGCCTCAATCTGCCCTCCCTCAATTTAAAGCCATTTCCCTCAACTTCAAACCATTTCCAACTGCTGCCGATAGGGAAACGAATGACCGGCGGACGGGCGGGCCGATCCGCCCGTGTCCGTCTGTCCGTTCCGCCGTACCGCCCCGCTGTTCCGCAGCCGCCGCTTCCCGCCCCGCAGCACCGCCCCCGCCGCTCACGTGCTCCAGTGCCGTCACGTGACCAGCACCGCCTGACCGGAGCTCCGCACCGCGCCGACTCCTTCAGCCAATCGGCGTCGTTCTTTTCGCTGCCAACCAATAGGGATCGGGAGGGGCGGGGCTCTGCGGCGCAGGCAGAGGGCCGGGCCGGGCCGACATGGCGCTGCAGTTCGGCGGTGCGGGCGCGGCGGGCGCGGCGGAGGAGCCGGCGCTGGTGGGGGGCAGCTTCGGGGCGGCCGACTCGTTCCCTAAAGACTTCGGCTACGGGGAGGAGGAGGAAGAGGCTGAGCTGGAAGGCGGCCCGGGGTCCGGAGGGCCAGGAGGCGGTGCGGGAGGGCCCGGGGGCGGCGCGGGCGGGGCGGACTCGAAGCCGCGGATCCTTCTGATGGGGCTGCGGCGCAGCGGAAAGTCCTCCATCCAGAAGGTGAGGGGCGGCTGAACCCCCCGGCACGGCCGCTATCGAGGGGCGTTGGGCGGCTGCGTCCTCCGAACGGGGGGTCCGACATCCGCCCCGTGCTGCAGAGCCGTCCGTCCCTTCCTTTGCAAAACGCGCGCCGGGTGTTAGCGAGCAAACTTTGCCTTTGGATCGCTCCGCCGTTGCTTTCCAGTTATTTGTTGTTATTTGGGCCTGATGCTCCCGCTCCGTGTGCAAATGCAGCGTTTGGACTGATGTATTTTCTAAGTCTCTAAGCGATGTGAATGACAGCCAGCAGACAGATTGATTGCATTGTTTGCAGTCAAAATTTGTGAAACTTAAAAGTCGGGGGGAAGCTGCAACCTCAGGCA